CCCTATCAGAGTAGTACACAGAAACGACCAACCTCCTCTCCCTTGCTGGTTAGTAGAGGTACAAGGAGGCCCCAAAAGTGCCTGTATCCAGCTGAGCGTGGGCTGGGCAGCACATCCCGCAGACGTGAGTGCTATGCAGAGTGACCCCTTCACACACTCCTGCTAGTACGAAAACATTGCAAAGTTAGTCTGCTTGGCTTTAAGCTGCTTTCAAAAACCACTGAAAACATATCCCCCCCCCCCAACTCCTTCCAGATATGACACAAGTATCTTCAGTGTTCTCAGCTGGATTTTCTATTTCAGTTATTTGCCAAGTTCCATTCGTCAAAAATTAGAAGGTGCAGTGCTTCCTGTTTTTAAAGGGGGACATTTTGAAGAGGGAAAATTTATAGCTACATGTGCATGAAATAGAAATGCAACAATCCTATGTGTAATCAGTTCTCTCTCCAGAATCAGATAAAATGGAAAATTATGTCTTTTCCTGATGCTTCCAAAGAACATCAGTATTATGAAGTTCCATTGTACTGTCTTTAGATATGCATGCCTACACTTACTTTTTAAAATCACTATGGATATATAATTCATTTAAGACGGTCTAAAAGCCTAAAATTTTTTAGTGTATTCACAAAGTAATGCAGTCATCACCATTATCTAATCACAGAACATTTTCGTCATTCCAAAAGAAACTTGTATCTGCTAGTTCTCACTTCATGTTCTCTACCTCCAACCCTAGCCCCTGACAACCACCCACCTTTTTCTCTATACATTTACTTATTCTGGACATGTCACATAAACGGAGTCGAACATGCGCCCTTTTGTGACTGGCTTCTTTGAGCATGTTTTCAAGATTCATGCACGTTGCAGCCTGTACCTGTCCCCCCTTGTGGCCTTTTCACTGCCAAGTACTCCACTGCATGGCTGTATGACCGCATTTATCCAGTCATGAGTTAATGGACATTTGGGTTGTTTACAACTTTTAGCAATTATGAATAATGCTGTAAATACACACAGATTTTTGTATGAACATTTGTTTCCAATCCTCTTGAGTATATCTACCTAGGAGATTTGCCGGTCATATCCTAACTCCTACGTTTCACTATTAAATGGGGAATGGCCAACCTGTTTCCCAAAGCAGTCGCACCCGTTTGCAGTCCTATCAGCAACTTAATATTTTCCAGTGGCTCCACGTCCTCAGCAACACTTATCTTTCTAATTAAAGCAATCCTAGCAGGCACGAAGTGATGTCTCATTGTGGTTTTTATTTGCATTTCCCTAATGACCAATGACACTGGGCATCTTTTCACATCCTTAGTGGCCATTTGTATATCTTCTTTGGAGAAATGTCCATTCATATCCTTTGCTCAATTATAAATTGGCTTGTTTTTTCATTAAGTTGTAAGACTTCTGGATACAAATCACATTGTATTTTTAAGGTAAAGGAAAATCTGTTGATATACTGTATAATACATTAACTTTAAAAATACAGTCCAGTGAGAATATAAGTACATCAAAATTTCACCTTAAATTTGAAATCACATAGAAATGTAGTGTTAAAGCAATCGTTGCTTTTTCAGATAAATGAATCTGAAGCCAAAGATGATGAGTGTGTGGATCCATTGGTTAGAAGATTTGAGATATGAGCAGATCTTACTAAATCCTGACTTAAAAAAAGACACGACTTGAATAATGCTGGATACTTATTAACACTAACACATTGCTAACAGTTAAGTGTAATAACAGACTTGTGGTTTTATTTAACAGTCCTTATCTTTTAGAAATACATACTCAAATATTTACAAATGAAATGATTTGCCATCTGGGATTTGCTCTGAAATAAATAAGGGTTCAAAGATGAACGGCATACAGATAAATCAAGATTGGCCATGAACCAATCACGTGAAAAGGTGTTCATTATGCTAGTCTCCTTTGACATATGTCTGACATGTTCCATTAAAGTTTTCAGAAGCTCTCGCTCCAGTGTCTCCTATGTAGAAGAGCACAGGCAGCTGCAGCAACTACACTTTTATAAATTCAGAGTCATTGTCAGTTATCCTGTAAGTAAAATCTCTGGGAAACTCCACGTGAGGACGTAACTGTCTGTGCACAGTCGTCTGTACAAAGCTGAATTACCACCACCAGTCACAGGTTATTTGAGCAGCCATATCAACCATGGCTCAAACAACAGAGCCAAAGCACCAGCCATCAGCACCACTCTCTGCTGACACATCTATTCTCACCAAACATCACTGAGGGACTGGAACCTCCAATGGAAGTGTAATTATTACCCTCACTGGCTACAGAAAATACCACCTCCAAGAGTATGTGTCGACAGTAACTAATTTTACAACCATCCCTCAGGCCACTTGACACTCACTCAAATTGCACATCCAATAGACACCTGAGTCAGGATGCCTGGGTATAACTTTCACACATAAAATGTATACCCACCAGAACGGCTGTAATAAAAAAGACAAGAATTGGCAAGGATGTGGAGACACTGCAGCCCGCATGTACTGTGGCAGTGGCAGGAATCTTTTTTTTTTTTTTTTTTTTTTTTTTTTTTTTTTTTCCTGTTTTTGGAGACAGAGTCTCACTCTGTTGCCCAGGCTACAGTGCAACGGCACAAACACAGCTCACTACAACCTCCACCTCCTGGGTTCAAGTAATTCTCTTGCCTCAGCCTCCCAAGTAGCTGGGACTACAGGCATAGGCCACCATGCCTGGCTAATTATTCTATTTTTAGTAGAGACAGGGCTTCACCATGTTGGCCAGGATGGTCTCAATCTCTTGACCTTGTGATCCACCCAGCTTGGCCTCCCAAAGTGCTGGGGTTACAGGCATAAGCCACCACACCCAGGCGGCAGGAATATTTCTAAAAGTACAGCCACTTTGGAAAAAGGTTAGCAGTTTTCTAAACATTAAATATAAATTTACCACACCATCTGACAATTCCACAGCTAGGAATCTGAGATGAAAACGTCCACACAGACATACTTATGAACGTTCAGAGATTATTCATAATTTAAAAAAACTAATTGTAGGCCAGTCAAACGTCTATCAACTGGTGAATGGAGAAGCAAAATGTGGTATATCCAAACAGTGAACACGAAACCAGCAGCTAAAGGACTACGCACAGCAGGTGTACGCTGCAACATGAACGAACCTCAACAACATCCTAAGTGAAAGATGCCAGGTATACAAGACCAAATGCATGACTCTACTGTGAAATTTCTACAAAGGCTGAATCTGTACAGAGAGCAGATCAGTATGGCTGCCTGGGGCTGGAGGTAGGAGCGGGATTCACCGCAGAGCAGCATGAGTGATTTTAGAGGCTGATGGAAAGTTTCTAAAACTGGACTGCACAACTCTAAATGCACTAAAACCAATTCATTGTACATTCACAATGGGTGAATTTTACGGTGTGTAAATTACACAAAGCAATTTTTTAAGTGGTATTATAACAAAGTTTTAGAAATGACTATTTTAAAAGCTCTGGCTCATAGCCCATTCATTTGACATAGTCAACACAATGAAGTCTAATAGACTACTAAGATTTAAGAGTATCAGCATTTGCTTGAAAATGAAACATGCAACTTTCAAAGGATTCCAAGTACACCCATCTCTAAATCTTACTAAATATTGCTCTTTCAGCTATAAGTCATGTAATTCTGTGACAAAATCACTGTCAACTATTTACATCAGCCATTTCATTAATTTGTCTTTCTGCAACCTTATGCCCTGGAGCATTTCTTTTGTAAAAATCTCGTTTGGTATAGCCCATGTTTTCCATTAGATACAAAGTTTTCTCAGAATATTTCATAACCTGAAGTAAAATTCTAATATTCAAATGAACATGCATTTAAATACACACTTTTTAAACATAAAATGAATATTTTTCATTTGCTCATTAAGCCACTGCCACGCTGCCCGTAAGTTTCAAACACTTCACTGTTTCAAATCAGGCTTTGTTTTTACCCTGTGGGTTCAAAATTCTTCTTTTCAAAGCAGTGCTGCCTTCAATGCTTAAGCTGACATTAATTTCAGTTAACTCCATTGCTTTCCACTCCACTGACAGATTTGCCAAAGAGGTAAAAGTCCCTCTAAAGCCAATCATTTAAAAAAAGGTTTTTTTAACTATATTCCCCAAAACCAAATCTAGTCTGAAACACTAACAGCCTTCAACAGATACAAGTAGAAAGCTAGAAGGGAAGTGGAAAGGGCCTGCCTGTGACAGCCCCACCTCATGAAAGACAGCAGCCCAAGTTACAGCTTGAAGACCGAGGCTCTAAATGACTACAAGCTACATACATGATTTCTGCACAGCGCAACTGCAAAACTTAAAACAATCATGCAGCACTCGTAAGTAAATAGAAACCTGGGATACACTTTAAAATGCTTAAAATCTCAATTTAAGAAATGGACAACATGATTCCCTTTAAATAATTTCCCTTTACAACTCCATAAAGACATTACTTACCAGGAATTCCACTTACTACAAAGGCTGCAGATCTTTTATCATAACTTTCCTGTGACAGATTTTTTAAAATCAACCAAAGGAAAATTAAAAAACACAAAGGAAAATTAAAAAACACATTAATAGAAAACACTGAACCTAGCGAAAAGTTGTCAAATAAATGAGTTGGTGAGCAAGAAATGCTACCTACTCAACAGGTAGGAAAGAAGGTAAGATAGCAAGAATGCTCTGGTAAAATCATTCATGTAACTGTATTATGAGTTTGAAAAAATAGCACTATTTGCCTCCAGAAATCAGGTACAAATAAAGCAAATATTTAAGAAAAATGGTAACAAATAGCAAAGATAAACCTGGAAAAGGGCATCTGTACTATTAGGAATTTTATAATTTATCTTAACTACAAAATATACACTGCTTTCCCTCAGAAGTCAAAGATAAAGGTGTCATGATCAATAACTTCACCACAGTTCTATGAAATAAAAATAGAAATTATTGCTATGACTGTAAAAATGGAGGCAGTAAAGAGTTCAGAAATACACTCATTTATAATGAATTAAATCATGACTCATAATTTGAACCCTAATTATCACATTATGTAGAAATCACAATTCAGGTTTTGTGTCCTCATTTATATGTTAAATAGTTCACATTTTAAAAACATTTTATCATTACATTATCAAATTTGATAAAATCTTATGAAAACATCTAAGTATTCAATATAAATCATACTGTTAAAAGTGTAAGGTAACATTTAAAGAAAACTGCTGAGGTGCCAGATAAGTATTTTCTATTAAATATACACAATTTAACATTTAGAACTGCATAACTTAATTCCTGCTAAAAGTTGATTCAGTTTTACAAAGGCATACTTTGTGAACCATGGTAAATTTCCCCAGCATCACTTTCTTTTTATTCCAAAGCTCCTTCAATTAAGTTTAACTTTCTCCTGTCATTGATATGTGAACATTACAGAAGTTTTACAATATGCAGTCTTAATAGTAACATGTTTCAAAACCTAAGCAAAGTGTACATTAAGTTAGCTACTACTATCTTATCATCAAATAAAAAATAAGTGAACACTTAAGTCTTTCTGAGGAAAAAATAGTGTACCTTGCTTAAATAAGACTTCCCCAGTAAAGATACTATGTAGAAGTTTCTCATGTTATTTTGTTGAGTAAATTTACTTTCTCTCATTAAAACTTTTTAAAAGTCTAAGGAAGGATATGTACTTACAATGCCATATTATGCAAGTACGGTATTGTTCATAAAGCAGCCCGACAGAGTTGTAAACATTTTAAATGTAGTAAACAAGACCTGGCATGTCTTTTCTCCTTAAAACATGCCATTACAATGCTTTTTCCATGAATAGTTATTCCTCCTGGAAAAGTTTGCAGGTATATTTTAAATCTATAAAAAAATACACTGAAATATGTGAAAAGATTTAGTCATGGCAATTTCACTGAAGCTTTTATTGCCTCTGTTGGTAATATGACAGGGACTGTGAGAAACACAATTGAACTTACAGAGATATGCAGATGATATTCACTAAAGATAATCTTCATCTCAAGTATTTTTAATATGTGGGCACTTCTAATTTTATACATTTTACTATTTAAAAAGCATTACATTTTAAAATGTGTACCTGTTTTGACATTTGGCAAAAAGGAAACTGTACCTATGGTTCAGTTGAAAACAAAGAATCAGCATGGGGAGCTGACCGAAATGAGGACTGAAACACAGGAATTAAAGCAATTCAAGGGTGGGGGGTGTGTCTCTCCCTTTCTGTCAATCTCTCTCTCTCTCTGGCTCTCTCGCAGACACAGACTCAAACACACACAGCCATATGTGTAATCATCTTTTAGTACAAAATATTCCCTGTAACCAGACATTTATCTTCAGAATAATCATACCACATTAAATCAGTCTTCTCTTTTCAGCCCTAATAAAAGTTGTTTAATTCTAAGATGCCATCATAGTGAACAACCTTAACTTTATGCTACATAATTATATTCAAAGCTTTATGTATTTTTGTTTATAATTACACAGTAATTATAAATGTTTAGTACCAACCTGATGACAAACACTATTTTGTTGAAAAGGTTTTGCATTTAAAAAGAAAAATATGTAAAATCCAAGGCACTAGGCCACGAACCAATATCAGACTTTTAAAGAAAACACTTTATATTGGGGAAAAAAAGCTAATGGGATCTCATTTCAAAACACAGCATATGAGAATTAATCAATCTGAAAACAATAACCATAACTCAAAATCTTCAAGACAGGAAACAGTACATATATAGATATATATATATATATATATATAGAGATATATATATATATATATATATCTTTTAAACATTTCTCATAATTGAAGTTCCTCTTTATATTTACAAAAATGAAATCGGGAAACACTGAAAGCAGCAGGATTACTCTTCTTCCTTTTTGTCTTAATAACCAATTCCAGTAGCCTGAATAGAAATTTTCAAATGTTTCTTTTGGTAAAACTGCATTCATGAATTAAAGTTATGATTGGAATATTAGTATGTCCATAGGGAAAGCTTTCTAGTCTACTTCAAAATCATGTAGATAAAAAGCAGTTTTAATATGTCATTGTTTCCTAAAATAATTTCCATGTTTGCATAAAATGTACTGTTATTCTGAAGTACATTCCTTGGTTAATATCAACCCTAGACCTTAGAGAGAGTACCTGGATATACCAAGCACAATCTATTCCTATCAAAAGACCATAATCACCTACCATTTGAAGTATTATATTTCTAGCCTGCGTTACGGAAATGTTCAAGAAAAAAAAACCCTTCTTCACGTGTCAGTAAGTGAACAGAGAAATGACCATTTTCAGCATAAAAGCAGCTCATGGGTCTTGAAATGAAAAAAATACATACAAGACAGCATTTGCTTTGATGAGAAAACTGAGCTAATCTGAGTGAAACAAAAACAGTAGAGACTAGAAGCCAGATCGGTATTTTGCATCATGTATGCTTGTTTGAAAATCTTTGCTCCTAAAGTAAATATTTGGCAACCACAGTGATTAGCAGTTAAAGCAATTTCAACAAAATAAGAAGTCATCGAAAATGGACTATTTGTCTGAAAGAGCAGTACCTGTATCATAAAGATTGAACTTCATGGCTCATCCAACCATTTTCAAAATGTTACTTCTACAATCTTATAAATTAAAGAGAATTTCATTTGTGTTCCATAGTGCGATGACAAAAAAAAAAAAAGTAGAACCAAAACAAAAAATAAACCCTCATGCCTAAATTTAGAATATTGTATTGTGTAGCAATCCAAAACATTCAAAACAAATTAAATAGTTTAACTTATGTGACAGGCAGATAAGCATTTCAAAAGCATAATGAAGTCCAATTATGTAGTGCATAACGTAGACAGAAGTAGAATCTAACATTATGCAGACATTTGCTAAATAAAAGCTCCCTGTAGGGCAACGAAATATAAACGTGGGTAAGGTAAGCACAGACTACTTCTGTGGAACCTTTTGAAATCAAGAGTCTGAAACACAATACATTTTTCAGGTAGGCACCAAGTTATCCTAAAAATTTTCATGTTGGTTATTCTGACATTGTTTTTCATCAGATACTCTAGTCACATCAACAACACATGTGATTTGCCAGGAAAAAAAAAATTCCCCCCAAACCAAAACACCATTCCAGATCCAGTACACTTAAATATATCACTCTCATTGGAAGTGCTATTAGCATAGTCTTTGCAACTAGCCCAAAGCGTATATTTAAGAAGTTTTTATAAATTGTTTTGTGATGTTCATATGTTTAATTCTTATGCCAACTGTTTTCTGATGAAGACAGCATTGTGCTTTATGCGAGAATGAAAACCTCAAAATAATCACCATAAAGCTTCTAAGACTTATGGGAGAATAAACTAGGATGGTCCACAGATAGAAGATGAAATCCACAAGGTTGGAATTATAAATGTTTAGAGCGGCCAGACTAGAAGACAAGCCCAAGCCACCATTAGAAGAATGAAATACGGTATGGTCCAAGATGTATCCTTAAAGTTTTGTCTCAACCCTCCATCTGAATTGTGAGGATTGATCTTCAGTTCAGTCCAGCCAGCAGAAATTGACTGTGCAATTTTCTGTTGTATTTATTGTACACACTATGTACATTCTAGAAGGTTCCTTTAGTGCTACACTGTTGTACTTTTTGTCCCAGCAATTTGAGGGCGTGCAAATTCCACAAAGTCATCAATAAGAACAGGCCATGCTCCTGGAAAAAAGAAAAAATGTGAAAGAAAGAGCAGGGAAAATAAAAGAGAAATAAGGCTAACATTTTAGTAGAATCCTTTAAGACTTCCTCATATAAGCATTAAAGTATATCATTCTTATCTATTACCAATGATTAAGTCTTTCAAAACTCAAACTTTTTGGAGTTTTTACCCCAAATATTCCTTATATTCCTTGTGATTCATTACTCCCACATTTGGTTGTTCCTTGAGTGATAAAAAATAACTTGTCTGGCAACTAATCAATAATATGATTTTCTGAAGGCCACTGCATCAGGCAATGCAAGTAATTTAGTCAAAACCGGCAGCCAATGGACAGGCATATGACAGCATGCTGCCAGTGCTGCAGGCGAGAGGAAAAACACATTTTCCAGCATTCCGTGGCAATCTCACAAAGGAAATTAACAGGAAGTGTAGAATTCCATCCTATTTCATGCTAATACATAACTAAAAAGTGTAAACTGAATGTACGTATGCCTCTACACATTCACATCTCCAAGTCAGAAAGCTCTTCATTTGTGTGTAAAACCTAACAGAAGGCACCATTATTAGACATATGCAGGATTAAACAGTTCACTTTTTAAGGAAGATTCTAAATGACAATGAAAATGAAGAATTAACATCATCCCTGAGTACCCTTAATGATTCCCGCCTTAATGATGTCCACTTGTAAAGACACCAAGATCACAGAGGGGTTTTCAAAAAAATAGTTCCATCAGGTATCTCGCTGGTTCTCAACTGGGGCGAGGGAAACATGTATGAAGAAATCAACGTAAATCACTGCCACATGTAGAAAAATAAAAGTCCACATCCTAGTAGTGGATGGTAGGGCCACCTTTATACATATATGAAGAAACAGCAGAAAAGTATCCAACCAGTGAGTATTTACCGAATGCTAGTAGTACTATACTAGGCAGCTGTTTCAAAAAAAAGACCAGGCGCCGTGACTCACAGCTATAATCCCAGCGCTTTGGGTCAGGAGTTCAAGACCAGCCTGGCCAACATGATGAAACCCTGTCTGTATTAAAAATACAAAAAATTAGCTGGGCATGGTGGTGGGCACCTGAAATCCCAGCTACTCAGGAGGCTGAGGCAGGAGAATCGCTTGAACCCAGGAGGAGGGGGTTGCAGTGAGCCAAGATCGCACCGCTGCAGTCCAGCGTAGGCAACAGAGCAAGACTCTAACATTAAAAAAAAAAAAAAAAAAGTCACTGAACTTGAGTTTACAATCAAGCTTATACAGAAGACTAACAGATAATTAAAAAAATACAAATAAGTATGAAAACACATCAAGAAGTAAAAAGGTTGCTAAAGTAAAATGAAAACCTAAAACATGGATAAAAATTACTCATGCCTTTCTGAAAGACATGAATACTGAGCTGGAATTGAAGGAAGCGGAAGAATATAGATTGGTAAATGTGTGAAGGTATTTCATACACTCAGAAGAGCATTCAAAAAAAGCATGGAGCTGGGCACGGTGGCTCATGCCTACAATCCCAACACTCTGGGAGGCCAAGGCAGGAGGACTGCTTGAAGCCAGGTGTACAGACCTCTACTTCTACAAAACATTAGGAAATTAGGCATTGTGGTACATGCCTGTAGTCCTAGCTACTTGGGAAGCTGAGGCAGGAGGATCACTGAGTCCAGGAGACTGAGGGCTTGCAACGAGCCATGCTCAAACCAGTGCACTCAGGCCTGGGCAACAGAGTGAGACTGTCTCAAAAAAAAGAAAAATGCTCAGAAGAGGGAAATCCAACTCTGAGGAAAACAAAAATACATAAGAAGTTCAGGGTGTGTGATAAAAAGATATAAAACAGCAGGTTAAAAAAAAAGTTGGTGTGGCAAAAATTTTCATTACCTTCTTCATCGTAATTAGACATGTCATCTGCAATCATTGTACTGAAGTCTAAAAGAAGGTTCCAGGTGTCTTTTGGTATTGATCGTTTATGATGTTCCTATTTAAAAAAATAAAAACAAAATACATTTGTATCACTAAAAAGAGCTGGAAAAAAGTTTGGACAATTCTAAATACAAGAATGCAAAATAACTGTGTAACAAAATGCTGGGAATCAAGCTTCTCTCATTCCATATCCAATACATTATGTTAATTTATCTTGAAACGGCAGAATCTTAGAGAAAACAGCAAACTGCAGAACATGTGAACTTACCAACAAAAATTTATTCCATAAGTCTAAGAATTTAAATCTTCCATTAAGCACTAAGTTCCAGTAGGCAATGGCCATTTCTAGATCTGAAATATTAAAAATAAATTATATACTTAAATGCTATGAGTATCTGTCTCTCCAAAAATAAAAATAAAAACAAAAATACACACAAAAACAAAAAAAAGCCCCAAAATACAAAGCTTGCATCCAGAATACCTATGTATTAAAAATTTCCTATACAAATGATTCGAAAGTTTGTATCCTCCTTCTTCAAAAATGACCAGGGCCTTTAGGGCAAAAATGATACCACTTACCTCACAGGGGAATTCCGTGTTTTAAATTAGGTAATGCAGTTAAGCATACTGGCTCACAAGTGTTCAAATACTGGTTACTGTAACAGGGTTTCTCAGCCTGGGCACTTCCGACATTTTAGGCCAGATGACTCTTTGTTGTAAGGGCTGCCCTGTGTGCTGTGGGAAATGTAGCAATGTCTCTGACCTCTACCCACTACATGCCAGTAGCAGTTTCACTCAACCCCCACTGGTGACACTAAAAAATGTCTCCACAGACTGCCGAAGATCCCCTGAGGGGCAAACCTGGCCCCAGCTGAGAATCCCCGACATCCACCTTTTTCGTCCACAGGTCGGAAAGTGACGGGCTGCTACTCAATCCTAAGTCATCTTACGCTCTGAACTGTTTACTGACTGATCCTGACCACAAAGAAACCACTAAGAATATGCATCTAAAACTCAAAATTCCTAAGAAACGAAGAATTTTTTAAACTTTGTCAAAGACAATATAAATGACTTTTTTTTTTTTGAGATGGAGTTTCACTCTTGTCACCCAGGCTGGAGTGCAATGGCGCAATCTTGGCTCACCGCAACCTCTGCCTCCTGGGTTCAGGCAATTCTCCTGCCTCAGCCTCCTGAGTAGCTGGGATTACAGGCACGCGTCACCATGCCCAGCTGATTTTTTCTATTTACTAAAAATACGGGGTTTCACCATGTTGACCAGGATGGTCTTGATTTCTTGACCTCGTGATCCACCCGCCTCGGCCTCCCAAAGTGCTGGGATTATAGGCGTGAGCCACCGCGCCTGGCCTTTTTTTGAGACAGAATCTCGCTCTGTTGCCCAGGCTGGAGTCCAGTGATCTTGGCTTACTGCAACCATCACCTCCCAGGTTCAAGCAATTCTCCTGCTTCAGCCTCCTGAGTAGCCGGGCTAATTTTTCTATTTTTAATAGAGACGGGGTTTCACCATGTTGGCCAGGCTGGTCTCAAACTCCTCACCCCAGGTGATCCACCTGCCTTGGCCTCCCAAAGTGCTGGGATTACAGGCGTGAGCCACCGTGCCCGGCTCATAAATGACTTTTTAATTGGGCATGGAGGAGAGAAGGGTAGAGAAGGCAATAATGCTACATGACAGAGAACTACACTCATCACGTGACAGAGAACTACGATCTCTTTCAAGGAACTAAAGTAATTAAGAAAGTATCTAGTTTTTATGGGTGAATTTACTTCTCCAGCACAAGAAAACTTACATCCTAAGTAACTTAAAAGTCTTTTTATTAATAGATGACATCTCAAAACCATTCTTCATAATCTGAGAAATCATGAGAGACTAGGAAAGACAAAAATTGGAGCAAGTGCTGCTCCAATTTTTAGAAGCAATAAAGAGCTGGGTGTGGTGGCTCACACCTGTAATCCCAGCACTTTGGAAGGCCAAGGTGGGCGGATCATGAGGTCAGGAGTTCGAGACCAGCCTGGCCAACACAGTGAAACCCCATCTCTACTAAAAATAAAAAAAATTAGCTGGGCATGGTGGTGTGCACCTGTAATCCCAGCTACTTGGGAGGCTGAGGTAGGAGAATCGCTTGAAACTGGAAAGCCGAGGTTGCAGTGAGTAGAGATCGCGCCACTGCACTCCAGCCTGAGCAACAAAAGCATAACTCCGTCTCAAAAAAAAAAAAAAAAAAAAAAGCAGCAACAAAGAGTAGGCCAGGCGTGGTGATTCACATCTGTAATCCCAGCACATTGGGAAGCCAAGGCAGGTGGATCACTTGAGGTCAGGAGTTTGAAACCAGCCTGGCAAACATGGTGAAACTCTGTCTCTACTAAAAATACAAAACAAAATTAGCGGGGTGTGGTAGTGAGCACCAGTAATTCCAAATACTTGGGAGGCTGATGCAGGAGAATTTCTTGAACCCAGGAGGTGGAGGTTGCAGTGAGCAGAGATCATGCCACGGCACTCCAGCCTGGGGGACAGAACAAGACTCCATCTCAAAAAAAAAAGTGGGGGGGTTTGATAAATCTGACACTAATTCACTGTCAAAAATGGATGATTGGTAAGAAATCAATTATAGGCTGCATGTAGTGGCTCATGCCTGTAATCCCAGCACTTTGGGAAACTGAGGTGAGAAGACTGCTTGAGGTCAGGAGTTCAAGACCAGACTGGGCAACATAGCAAGACCCCCATCTCTACAAAAAATTTAAAAATTAGCTGCTCATGGTGGTGCATGCTTGTGTTCCCAGCTACTCCAGGAAGCTAAAGCAGGAGGAACTTTTGAGCCCAGGAGATCAAGGCTACAGTAAGCTATGATCATGCCACTGCACTCCAGCCTGGGTGAGAGTGAGATCTCTTACAAACAACACAAAAACATGAAAAAAAAAAAAACAATACCTAACCACCCCCACCCCCGGCATCCATGGACACACACACAGTAGCTGGAAATCCGCAAGACTGAACCTTAACCTTCTTCAGTGATGGAGACTACATCCTCCTCAGCCAGCAGACTGAAATACGCAGTAGGCATTCAGAAAATGCTAAGTGGACAAAATTCCTATGGTTTCACATACAAATGTAATTATCCTTCATCATCATCTTCCTTCAAACTCAACAGAAATGAAGAAACTCTTCCTTCTAACCAAGGATAAGCCCCTTATGCCTCTATTCTAAATCCAGTACCATCCTGCCTCTTTAAGGAATCTTGTCTATTGGTTCACTTTCCCCTCTCTCTACATCTCCAACTTGACCTTGTTCTCTGGCATTTCCAACTCCAGAAAGAAACATGCTCAAGTTATCACTTAGCTTTTAAAAATCTTTCTTGAATCTCTTAACCACCTTCACTGGCTATACCCTCTTTCTCCTTCCCTTCACAGATAATCTTGAAATAGCACTGAGAATCCTCCACTTTTATACATAATTTGTCTGAAAATCAAATTTAGATGCCCATGTTTTAAGAGAACTAAAAAACTTGTAACACCAGCTGGGCACGGTGGCTCACACCTATAATCCCAGCACTCTGGAATACCAAGGTGGGTGGATCACCTGAGGTCAGCAGTTCGAGGCCAGCCTTGCCAATGTGATGAGACCCCATCGCTACTAAAAATACAAAAAAATTAGCCAGGCATGGTGGGTGGGTGCCTGTAATCCCAGCTACTTGGGAGGCTGAGACAGGAAAGTCACTTGAATCCGGGAGGCAGAGGTTGCAGTGAGCAAAGATCGTGCCACTGCACTCCAGCCTGAGCAACAAGAGCAAAATTCCTTCTCAAAAAAAAAAAAAAAAAAAAATACATAACACCAATTTCTTTTTTTTTTTTTTTTTTGAGACAGAGTCTTGCTCTGTTGCCAGCTGTGGTGCAGTAGTACGATCTCAGCTCATTGCCCGGGTTCAAGCAATTCTCCTGCTTCAGCCTCCGGAGTAGCTGGAACTACAGGCACGTGTCACCACACCCAGCTAATTTTTGTATTTTTAGAAGAGACAGGGTTTCACCATGTGCCAAGGATGGTTTCGATCTCTTGACCTCGTGATCCACTCGCCTTGGCCTCCCAAAGTGCTGGGTTTACAGGCCGTAACACCAATTTCTAATGGCACTTCCCTTTTAATCTATGCAATCTGTAAAGCCCCATACCCAATATTCCTTCCACGTTGTTTAATTTTGTTCTTTACCAACTCAACATACAACTGTCTAAGTGCCATAAATGTTCAGTTGAGACTAAGTATTTGCTGTTACTAGTGTGCTTAATTCACTTCACTTTAAATGCATTAAATTCATGAGAATTAAACATATTGTTAGGGTATGTTTTTCCTTTTCAACTAATTTGTATAAAATAAGGATGACAATGAAATATTCAAATAAATACAAACCACATGACACCTATAAATGCCCATTTGTCAGCTGATACACCAAATAAGAAATTGACAAAAGCAAGCATGTACGCACATTGTGTTTGAAAGTTCAGGCTGTAATCCTCAACAACACAGTGAGACCTGGTCTCTACTAAAAAGCAAAAGACTTAGCTGAGCATGGTGGGACATGCCTGTAGTTCCAGCTACTCGAGTGGTTGAGGCAGGAAGATCGAGTGCCAAGGAGGTTGAAGCTGCAGTGAGTCATGATTGTGCAACTGCACTCCAGCCTGGGTGACAGAGCAAGACTGTCTCCCAGAGAAAACCACACACACATACACACGTTCAAAAAGAAGGGAATTCCTTATAGTCTACATTCATTGTCCTGTTTCCTCATTTCCCATACATTCTAATCCTGTTAACCAATGTCTACCTGTCATCCACCCCAATGAAGTTAAACTCTGAAGGGTCATCAGACCCTCTGGTTACTAAATGAATACTCTGATGTCTCCTCTGCAGTATCTGAGAGAACTGAGCACACCTCCAGGGAGAACTGTCACTTCCTTCAGTTTCGATGTTAAGCACTCTGCTGATTTCCCTCTGTTCCATCGATGCTTCTCATCGTCTTTTCCTGGTGCTCCTCTTCCTCCATTCATCCTTTAAATGTTAGCGTGTTCTAATAATGTGTGTCACACTTTTCTAATGTCCTTCAGATTTTCAAACCTATGCCATTGTTCATGTTACACATTCAACCACCCCAACAGCCCCTAAATCTGAAAGCGATCTGTCTTCTAGACCATTTATCTAACTGCCTGAAGACATCTTCAACTTGGTATTCACAAACAACTTAAACGCCGCAGGGTTCAAACTGAACCCTATCTTACCTCTATAGACCTGCTCTTCCTTTTCTCAGTGTCACCACCCTCTACAGTATTTCTCAATGAAACACAACTTCTCATT